ATGTCGAGTGTGGTAGGTTTTTCCAGTTTGATGGCAGCAAGAGAACGAGAGGTAACCGACTTAAGTTGCGCAAACCGCAGGTGCGGCTCAGGTCGAGACAGGAATTCTTTACTTGCAGAGTGGTGAACGCGTGGAATGCGTTAGATGACGAAGTAGTGGCTGCCCCATCTTTAAGAAGAAACTGGATGCTTTCATGGACAGGCAAAATGGTGGGGGGCAATGTTGACCGTAGGTACTAGACAGTAAGCAACTAGGATAGTAAAAAAATTAAATTAAATTAAAAAATACGAAAATATTTAGCTTTAAGAGGGTTAGGCCTAACCTAAAATTAAGGAACGCTCGACCTCGACACGTGATATCGAAATGGGCGAAATCGCCTCTTGATATCACTTACTATCTTGAATCATTCACTGGATAACTTTTCTTCCACAGACAGTAGGAACATGTTCGCATTTGATTGTCAAAAGAAATAACAGAGTGGTGCTTCAATTCAGGTAGGCTTAGGTTGATTATTCCGCAGTTTTAAACTTCCACGAATCTATAGCAACCATGAAATACAAAGTTAACAAATCAGAGCACGATGTAAACAGGATATCAGAGCCAGAGTCACCACAAATGCCATGCCCTGGTGTTTTTCATAGAGAAACAATTTGGTTCGGTAAGGTCAGTACAGAGTGTATGAGAAAGGTCTAAAATAACATAAAAATGTAAATCTCTGGAATGAAGAGATAAATTTTCAAGAGATCACCAGCAAATAGGTGCATTTCTCAAGTTTTTCTTGGAAGTTTACTTTATGAATGTGCCTTTTATAATAGAACCGATGTCCAGGAAGCATTTAGTTAATGAAGATGAGGGAGGGGGAACCGTGACGACGACGAGGGGAGGGTGTCACGGGAATCTCCGCCGTAGCAGAGACCTTGCGGTTTCGTAAGATAGGCGTGGGAAAGCGAGCACGCGGTGCGCGGTGGAAACAAGCGGGAGGCTGGACGACACTCTACTGAAGCGAGCGTCAGGGATGGATGCCTTCGGCCTTGTTCTCCTTGCCCTCGCGGGGTCTGCGGGGTCCGTGTCGTCTGCTACGGGTGGAGGTGAGTACACCGACGAGAGGTGAAGCGGTTGGTCCGTTTCGTGAGAGGGGGATCCTGATGTCACCCAACAGGCTCTCCGGACTCCGCTCTTGGACGTTTTCTCGAGTCATTTACTCTGCGATCCTTCCGTCCGAGACGAAGACCATGTAATGCATTGGATTTGCAGGTCCGACGTCACGGTGGACGGCAGGGCCGCGCCAAGACGAAGGCCTCGCCGTGGAACTCCACGAGGGAGGCGACTACGCCATCCTCGTGAACGGCCAGTACTGGCTCCAAAACGCCGCCACCTACTTCAACGTCGACGGAACCCTCTACAGCACCGCCGACGGGACCCTCGCCCTCACCGACGGCCCCGTCGAGGGATCCGGCTCGGACGCCCTCGGCCCCTACCGCCTCTTCACGTGGACGTGGGCCGCCGGCGCGGCGGCGATCGAGACCTCCGTGGCCGTCTACGACGACTCCCCTTCCCTCGTCTTCGGCCAGAAGTTCCTCTCCGCCGTCGCCGGGACCAGCCTCGGCGACCCGAACGGGGTCGTCTCGTCCTTCCCGTCCTTTCAGGTGCAGGACGGGCTGCCCGAGAAGGGATTCCTGTCCATCTACGGCCGATTCCTGGGTCAGAAGAGGGTCACGATCGCGAAGTAAGACTGACGGCCATGTCCCGTCGCCTGATTCCGCGGTTGGATAAAACCTGACCGCGGAAATGGAACATACTTTTATACAAGTAGAATATTTCTTGGGAAAAAATGTGATTATATAATACTAGCTGAAGTACCCGGCGTTGCCCAGGGAAATGTAATATTTCAATATTTCATGCATGACAAATTGGGGAACGTTGGTCCTTTGGTTTCCTCTAAGTTACCGATCTTGGGTGTCGCAAAACGCCTTCGAACCCTTTTCCCTTTTTGTAACTTTAATCTATCGTTTTGAAACATATTTTCGATGAAAACTTGATCAAAAGAATATTACTTACAACCTACTGTAGCGATCCAGCAATTGGATTACCTCGGGGTACTGTAATGCAGGCGGCCGGGAGGGGAGAGTCGGATGGCACGAGAGGACGCAAAAAAAAAAGGCGGGGGGGGGGGGGGGACCGCACCCGCNACGAGAGGACGCAAAAAAAAAAGGCGGGGGGGGAGGGGGAATCGAACCCGGGCCTCCTGACCGCCGGGTCAGGCGTGCTACCACTGCACCACCGAATCGGGGAGTCGGTCGCTTCCTCTCGATGCCATCCCAGCTGCTTCCTCTCGATGCCATCCCAGCTGCTTCCTCTCGATGCCATCCCAGACGCTACGGTTCCTCCGGGAGTGGACATTTTGGATGGAGGCATGGCCCTCGCGACCTTCACCTGGATGAGAGAGGAGGTCGTGCAAAGTTTGGTTGCACTGGCTCCTAAGGGGTCCGAATGCATACAGGAACAGACTGACTGACAAACTTTCTTCCTAATATGTATAGAGATATACTATTACGTAATCGACGGATTCTATGACCCTGCAGGTCTCTATACGCTTGCATCGCAGTCGCATCCTGAAACAAGCGCACAGGTGCGTTAGGCTGAGCAAGGTATCTTTTCCCATCGTGCCCCAAAACGACATGAGATAAGAAAGTACGTCTCCCATTAATTCAACTCGCTGGGATGGCTATTCGAATCGTGGAAGATCATGTTCCTCGTATGAGTTCGGGAAGCATTCCTGAAACCAGGCCAAGGGTTTTGTTATGAAAAAAAAAAAAATTGCAAAAGGAAATGAGCAGGGTTAAATTCGAGAACTCAGAAGGCCAGGAAGTTGCATAGCTGTTGCTCACGTCGTAACGTAAATTTAAAATAAAACTTATTGGAAAACAGTGTCGCGGGATCGGGACGAAAAGGTCCTCCTCTTGATTTTCCGTTCTCGCAGGTGGACGGCGGAAACGACGCAAATCAACTTCGGAGAGCAGGCGGGGCCGTTGGTGCTGTTCGACCGAAGCGCGAAGGCCCTCGTGATGTCGCCGTTCGACAGCTTCATGTCGGCGAACGCGTACCACGACCGAGCGGGGTCGAGCGTGCACTTCGGGGTGATGGGCCGGGCGGAGGGAGTCCCGGCGGGGCACGGGACCCGGACGATCCTGCACCACGGGGAGGGCGTGAACGCGGCCGTGTTCGACTGGGGGAGGGCCCTGCAGACTTACTACGGCAGGGAGCAAGTGGGTGGCACCACTTTTTTTTTATTTTCTTGAAAGGGAGCGTTTTCTACGCTCCATAATAGGAGGGTCGAACCCTTCTTTGAAGGGAAAATGGGAAGGTTCCAACGTTAAATCCTCCGATTGAGGTGCAGCATCACAGTATGCTACATTTTAAGAGCACAACATATACGCAATGACTGCAATTAGACGTTATGTTTGTACTTTTGAATCTTGGTATCTTTGGGAGTAGGTGAGCGACTTTACTACCGACTACTTGGGATACTACACAGACAACGGAGCCTTCTACTATTATAACACAGAGGAAGGCATGAACTACGAAGAGACGGTGCTCGCAGTCGTGGACCACCTGAGCGAGATCGGGCTCCCCATCAAGTACTTCCAGTTGGACTCGTGGTGGTACCCAAAAGGGGCCGACGAGGGGGTGGTCGAGTGGACGGCGTTGCCGGACGTGTTCCCCAACGGTCTCCAGAACCTGTACCAAGCGGTCGGACTTCCCTTCCTGGCCCACAACCGGTGGTTCTCGCCGGAGACGACGTACGCAACAGAAAACGGGGGAGAGTACGAATTCCTGATCGAACCGGAGAACGGGAAGGCCCTGCCGCTGGAGCGGCGCTTCTGGGACGATCTCCTCGACGAGGCGAGGGTCTGGGGGCTGGTCACTTACGAGCAGGACTGGCTGGATCAAACCTACACTGGGCTCGAGTGGGTGCTGGAACGTCGCTGGAAATGCAGCTTGGGGAATGGGTGCAGAGGGTTTTACGCGTGTTACTGTGTTGCAGTGCTCTTCACACCGACGTCGATCTGGCCTGGAGATGGTTGAACGAGATGCATGGAGCAGCCGATGCAAGGGGGATCAACTTGCAATACTGCATGGCGCTGCCCCGGTTTGCCTTGGCGGCTCTGGCGCTTCCTCGGGTTTCTCAAATTCGCGTGTCGGAAGACTATCTCGCCACGTTTGTAAGTTTTGGGGTTTGAATGATGCAAACCGGAGTTTCCTCCTACCACTACCTCGTGATTACCGTCCAGGCTATTTTTTAAGATGAAACTCCGTTTTTGCAGCTGAATTGGGATATCGGAGTTTCGTCCATGTTCGCCCACGCACTGGGGATCCCTGCCTTCAAAGACACTTACCAGTCTTCAGATTATACCGTAGCAGCTAGGTGTTCCAGACTCGGGGGCAATGGTGAGTGATAACTTATTTATAACTTCATTGCAACCTTACACTAAAGTGATACTTTTTTTCATGCTTCCCAACAGACGCCGAGACCATCGAAAAGTGCCTGAGAGCATTCGAACCAGGCCTGCATTCGGCCATCTCCTCTCTCTCAGCCGGCCCAGTGGCCCCGGGAGACGCGATCGGCGAGATGAACGTCACTCGAATCATGAGATGCTGCAACGCGGACGGTCTCATCCTGAAACCCGATCGTCCTGCCACACTCATCGACGCCAAGTACATCCGTGAAGCATTCGGCAACGCAGAGGCAGGGCCGGCTGGAGTCGCGTGGACCACGCACACCCTCTACGATGGGGCAACACCCTTGGAGTTCGGGGTTATATTCTGGACGGACATGACGGAAGAGTATCTCATCTCACCATCAGCCTCTGGTCTTGGCAACTATTTGCCTTTGTTTGCTTACAGGGTTTCATCAGAAGATGAAGAAAATGTCAACCTTGAAGCTAGATTCTTCCCAGAGGATGGGCACCTTCCACTCAATGCCAACACTGCCACTTACTATTATGACCTTTGGTACACAGCACCCATCATTACCCTTTCAAGAGGGGAAAATTTGTTCGTTGACATTGCCTTTTTGGGTGAGATGCGCAAGTGGATCCCCGTATCAAAGCAACGAGTATCAAGATTTGAAATAACATCTAACATGCTGCAGGTTCATTTAAATGGGGTACCTGGGGAAATGGTAAAATTCCATCTTGCTGATGGCACAGACCTGACTGAGGGAGCATATTTCCTCACAGAACTGCCAGTGACCTTTGGGGATTCAGGTCGGGCCATCATTGAATGTATAGCTGATCCTGACACTCCAGACATACCATGTTCAACCAGAGAAGAATAAAACTGATGGTGATTGAGCTGAGAATCTGATACCATTGGTCCTTCTTGTGTAGGGAGTCCTTCAGAATTAATCAATTTCACAGGAAGTACATGTAAGGAGTAGAACAGCAAGAAGTAAATGAAGAAGACTGCACCATGGAATCCAAATGACATCTTTAATTAAAAACAGGTTTCCAGCTGAAACATGCAAATTTGGAAGTGATCACAGATGACTGACTCTCCTCATCACTCAATCTGAAAAAAAATACAACGGGGTAGAGTTCTGTATCTCAAATTTTGAGGATTTATGGTCTTCACAGAATATCACTGCCATCTGCACTCACCAAAATTATACTTGAACGGGAGAGGCCACTCGAGAAGCATTGTTGAGGTTACGTGCATTCCGGGCAGCCACATCTTTTCTCAACTCTTCCACCCTCTTCAGAAGTTTTGCTTTCAGCTGCAACAATTCCCTACTCCTCTCCAAGATTGGCTCCTAAAATGACAATTTTTTTGCACAATTGTTATTGTTCAGAGAATACCAACAGTCAAAATAATGCAGCAAACCCCTCAGACAGTATATAAATAATTATTATACCAGTACTACTGACCTGGAATTTCTAAAACTACACTAGTTTGTGGTAGATAATCTTGAATAGAGCATTTTTATATCAGTTCTATATCTCAGACAAGGTGGGCTAGATTTGTGTCTCATGAATGAAAGGAAATTAACTTTGGGAAATGCCCAATCCCCAGAGTACAGTTAAGGCCACCTGATATATTTTCAACACCACCCCTCCACCACTAGCATCTTCCCACCAGTGTACTTCATATACCCATGTGTTCATATGACAAGCACAGATTGAATTTACAAAAAGTGAGCACGTTGAAACGTGAAGGGCACAAGGAAAATATAGCTTTTCTAAGACAAATATGAATGAAAGGAAGTCAAATGTGACCAAGGAAGGTCAAATGTGTCACTGTGCTGGATGTCAGATTTTAGGGAAAAGCTTGTTCAACATAAGGAAAGTCAAATTCAACAGTTGTGAGATTTGATGCCTTGTCTCTTGGTCGTGCTCCAAGAGAGGTGCCCTCTCCGTGCATTTCTGTAGAAAAAATATTCAAATGCAAATTCGCAAGTGCGTGTGCATGCGGTCTCACTATTCCATTTACCATGCAGGCAATGTTTTATTTCAATCCATGAGAGTGAAAAACTATAGGTACTATCCAATGGAATTCAAGATTCATGGAAAGAGATCAAACTTCTCATGCAACATACTTTTTAAAGTCATCACCTCAGGTGGAGCAATTACCAATACTGGACCTTGCACGATGTTCATAATACATGTTTGCTTCCATTAAGTATAACAGGTATTTTGCTGTTATGTTTTGACTTGTGGATTAGACCTATACCTACATTAAGACCAAACTAGAACTCTGATAAATACTAATGGTTAATTTTTTAAGCTTCTTTGGCAGCTTCATCATTGAGTTCAGTACAAGCTCTTTAAGTTTCACAATTTCTTAGTTCAACTGAAATAAAGAGATTAAATCACTAAAGTAACTTCTCTGCCACTTTGTAAATGTACTTTCATAATGACAACCTTCCCCTTGAAAAACGACTCACCTGAGGTCTCATGGATGGGTTCCATCTGCAATAATATCCTTTCCAGAGTTTGCTATGCCTGAGGCTAGCCTGAGGGAATAGGACAAAGTTCTGGATGAAGTTGCAATACATTGGGTTGAGGTAGTCATCAAGATTACTGTTGATGAATGACCACAGGCTGCTTGTTCTCCCCTTCACCCCTTCTTTCATTCGTTCACGTTCACTGCAGAACAAGATGTTCATCTCAAACAAAATTTTAAAATGTTACAATTGCATGAGGTGTCTGATAAAAATGTATTACCTATTGAACAGGAAATTCCCAAATCGACAAGAATAGAGGTGATCAAGGATGGTGATAAGGAATAACTCATTGAATTCAAATGCATGTGGAAACTGCTGAGTCATCTGCCAAACACAATCCATGAACTGGAGGAAAATTGGAGACCGATCTGCATCGGAGTGCTTGTCTTCTCCGTGCCCAATCCTCTGAAATAGATAGACTGGTTGTGAGACCCCTATCACATGCAATCCATGCTTTCAAAACTAACTCAAAGTGATGTACCTGTGCAAACTTGTGACCAAAGCTCAGCCACTCCTTTTCAATCAGAGCCTCAAAACCACGAACTGTTCGATAATGGGGATCCAGCATCAGCATGGCCAAGGCAGTCAACTACAAAAGACAGTATTTATCAAATTCCTCATAATTATGCATGACACAAATCAGGCCAACTTACACATTTTTGCATATAATAAAACAGTTACTGGTACAATATTTGTCACTTCTACATCTATCCAGGCACATTTGCTCACCTTTCAGAATACATCTGTCATAAAGGTTAAAAATTTTATTTAAAATTACATAAATTTTTGCATAAATTTTATAGTTTTAGAGTTATAAAAATTAAAATTTGATGGAATTCTGCAACATCACCATTATATTATTATATTTCTCATGACATGTTGACACCTCAATCTTGAGTCTAATAGCATTTCAGGCCTTTACCTTGCATTACAGGCCATTTTCTTAGATGGAAGGAAAGTTATATAGCATGAAATTGGAATTCCAATTTCTTGCTGGAGGTGGTCCTGTAATGTATGAAAATGCTTGAAACAGTAAATACTGGAGTTGCACATGTAAGATTTCAGATGCACAGTCATACTATTACCTTTTTGACTTCTTACTTAAATACTCAAGATTTTATTCCTTGTTGAAACTAGACTTCCTTATTCCAGCATCTTCACGGAGACTTCTTAAAAATAAGATAATTTCACAACATGTGTGACCTATAGACATCTCCATTTGAGTACTATTACATCAGGGTATCATATTTGGATTTGATAATGATAGTTTTAACCCTACACTGCATGGTGCCAGATATGGCATGCTTTGCTTTGCATTGAATCATATTACAGTACAATGGTAAAAATAAAAGGATAATTTTTAAATTATTTTTCTCATCAATCACATGGAAAAATGTGATAGTCAAAAAATGTTTTTGGTACATTAAACAAAAGTAATGCATTTTAGGGTTAGCACTTGTTCTGCTGTAGGTGCCACAGCATTCCCACAGTGGACACTGAATTTAAAAAACATACCTATTACAACCTCCTGTGAATGTCTCACCTGAGCAGTGCGATCCCAGCCATCAGAACAATGGACAATGACGGAGGTCTTATGATTTTCCACCTTGTCAGCAACACGAACGGCACCAGCCAAAATACAGCGAATGTGTTCCAACCAATTTGTTGATGCAATGTTGGACAACCAATGACTGTCATCAATGAGAGGGTAGCACACTTCTGCAAAGGAAAAAATATTGTTGCATATCAAACAGCTACAGCAAAAATACCAATCCATCCTATGAGGAAACACTAACCTTTTAATTTGCGGAGTGATTCCCTCATCACATGAATATTATGAATGTCAAGAAAGACAATTTCTGCATTTGGATATGCATCCTCATTCTCATAGCCACCTCCTTTGGCCTTGTTTGCCAAAGCATTGACACTGCAAGTAAAAAACACAGGTGCAAGTACCAATAATCCATAATCCTACTTAACATCATTTACACTTAACACTTATGGAAAAGAAGGTATGATACAGGAAGAAATAGCATGATCCTGGCACAAAAACCAGTGTACTGCATTTTTTAATGAATACCTGGGTACATAAAAGAAAGCCCCACTTTTCCCCATTGGGAAGTTTGCCAATAAAATGATAAGTTTCTCCATGAAGGATAGTGTGAGAGCTAAGTTATGGGCTAAGAGATAGATGAATGGAGAAGAAAATGTCTCATAACGTTCTAAAGAGGAAATATACAGTTCTTCATATTACCTATCACAAGAAGTTTCTATAGATTTCATGGAGTCAAATTTCCAGATACCCCCAATTATAAACATACATGACAGAAGGGCAAATATGAAATTTTTTTCAAGGGGCAAGATCTTGCCCTTAATTTCATCAGCAGAATGGGAATTGAGGAATGCTGAACAAAGCACCATGAAGCTGAGCACCTCGCCTCTCTAGTGAAGGGGTAAATATTTAAATTACCTTATTTTACTCTGAAAATAAAAAAGCTAATTCTTGCTATTCCAGATAAACCCCAAACTGCATAATCTCCCTTTTGTCAAATCATAAACAACACCTTATTTTCATCCTTACCTTGGCCTAGCATCCATGATGAAAATCTTGTGAGACTGTGCATTGGCATCCATGATCATCTGGATATGCCTCTCATCCTCTCGAGACCGTTTCCCACCGACTCCAACCAGAGGCTGGGCACAGCGGGTAATGCTTGCCTGGCTTTCAGGATGCAACCAGGATAGAATCTGAAAGAAATCAACTCATGAAGCTATCACTTTGTCTCAAGGGTTATTCACAGCAGACTTATAATCTTTATAGTGGCTAAATGCATCCTCCCTGCATCAGATGGGCTGCTGAATTAAAAAATCTTTAGAGGGTAGGTTCTACAGAGTGGGTAGCATGAGTTGCAAAATCCATACTTGTATAGAATTTTGCTTCAAAAGATCTTTCATAGAAGTTCAATGTAATCCAATCACAATGGACTGCCACCATAATATCCAAGACAGTTATAGCTGGGATGAAGCAAAGGCCTCTATGCCTGGAATTTGGTGATTTTTGAAAACCTACATTATTGTAAGTACAATATCTAATGCATTATCTCACTTCTGGATCCTACACTTTACCAGACACTGCATCAGCAGACTCTCAGCAGATTACCAGGAACTGCATCATTGCAATAACGGAACATGCCATAAAATTCTGCTCATGTACACATATCCTCTCAAAAGAACTTCCCATTAACTAAACCATTACATCTAAAAATGAAAAAGAATGCCTTCAGTGAACCTCTTGGGAAAGTGGAGGAACTGACCGGGAGTCTTCCGCGACTGCGGAAGCTGGCAACAGCCTTGAGATCATCATCAGATGCTGCAGAGGGCACTCCCCAGACACTTGGATAACTCTCACAGATATCATAGCTGTCATTGATCCTGGTGATTCTCCAGCTTTCATTGGGTAGGCCCTAAGAGTAAAGTAATAACATTAGCATCAACTATTGCACTTGTCCATGGAAAAACAGGTGGGGTGGAACAATGTCAAATTTTTCAGAAACTTAATACTTAAGTTTGTGAAAACTTAATTTAATATAAACTTATATTGGAATCATTTGTTTCCAGGAATTCAAAATTCATGATTCAAAACCATGCAAGATCAGGGCAAACAACTTGCCTGCCTCCTTAGTTCAGCCACTGGTTCATAGACTGTCCATCCATTTTCTGGGAATTCTTCTTTTGATTCAAATGCAAAAAAGGGCAGCTTATGTGTAACAGGGAAAGCATAGACTTGGAGTTTCTCAAAAACATCTCGCCTTGAGTGGTTCTCCTAGAAAAAACATTGCACCACAAATTGTTCATCATGATTGATCAGCAATACAGATACCTTACTTATCTTGGCATCATAAAAACTATTCTTACCTGCTTGTGAGCGAACCGAAGATTACGCATGTCTTTGCAAAACAGTTCGATTCCATACGAGTTTTCTCCTTTACTGCTTGCACCTCCAACCTTCTCCACCCTACTCACCTATAACCCAAGAAGCCTGAGTACCATACTCTGATACAACAAAAATCAAGAAGACACATGATGATAGAGTAAGTTTTCTTTCATGGGCTATCAGGGAAATCAGAACATAATAATACAGAATATCTTCAGAAAATGGATATAGCCCAACATTAAGAACAACTGTTCATAAAAAAAAAAGAGCTTTAACAAGGATAAGTGTCACTTACTACTCCCAGGGGAACTTCAAGAACAAATGCAGGATCTCGATCAGTGCTCCTGAAGTATAGTTTATAATTGGTGACTGTCAGTGCCCCTCGAACTGGGCCTATGTAAGGACACAGATATGTGACATCTCTAGCTGGAGTACACTGCACAGCTTCACCACCAAGCAAAGGCGGATACTCGGGTCTCAAAGTTGAAGGATCAGCTTGTGCCTATAAAGACAGGAAAAATTTTTCAGCAATCTGTTTCCAACACAGACTTGTATCAACTAATGCTAGAGCCAGGGCTTTTTATGTCCATAGCAAGAGTTACTCAACTATTTTAATGAGCAAGTGGGAGGTATTCAAGCATGCTGCTGAAGACCTGGAGTACAAAACATGATTTACATTTTTTTTTAGATTGATTTCCCCCATTCCATTCAATTACACTCAATATTTTTTCTATAGGCCTTACAGTCAAGCTTTAGAATACTAAATCCCTCATTTGAGATGGACATAGTTTGTACTGAAGGAATACAAGATGCTATCACAGGCTAGCCTTTCAAGTTTGCAAAAGTGATTTGTAGCAAGTATTAAGGAAAAACCATTAATCTGATTAACTTAAAAATGTGCCTGATCTGGGTCAAATATGAATCTTTGACCAGTTCCTTTTTCTTTGATCACTCATTTTGTCCAACACCTAGGAATATTGAGCAAGTCCAAAATAGAACCAAATGCTTACCTTTTTTGGTATCTGTCCAGGCATATTGTCTGCAGATGTGGAACTGGATGAATACATGCTCTTCGAGGGAGAGTGGGACCCTTTGCTTCCGTATGAACTCAAGGATTCCGGGCCCAATTGATGAGAATTGGTCGAACTTGACTTGGATTCAGACACAAGGGAATCTGAACTGGGGTTCTTCTTGTGCCCCTTCTGCACAGCCAAGCTGTTCCTCGAAGGATCGCTAGCAGACGAATTCG